TGTAAGTGACAGGGATGTGTCTGTAGGTGATGGGGATGTAATCTGGGGTGTCAGTGATGGGGATGTATGTCTAGCTGTAGGTACTGAAAACATGGTCTGAAGTTTGGGTGATATGGATATGTTTGTGGGTGTATGTGATAGAGATGTATATGTGGGTGTAACTGATGGGGATGTAATCTGGGGTGTCAGTGATGGGGACATATTTCTTGATGTAGGTATTGGAGATGTATGACGTTTGCGTGATGTGGATGTGTCTGTATGTGACAGAGATGTGTCTGTAGCTGTAGGTGATGGGGATGTAATATGGGGTGTCAGTGATGGGGATGTATTTCTTGGTGTAGGTATTGGGGATGTGGTCTGAAGTTTGGGTGATACGGATATGTTTGTGGGTGTAGGTGATAGAAATGTGTTTGTGGGTGTAAGTGATGGGGACGTAATCTGGGATGTCAGTGATGGGGACATATTTCTTGGTGTAGGTATTGAGCATATTGTTTGAAGTTTTGGTAATATGGATATGTCTGTGGGTGTAGATGATGGGGATGTGTCTGTCGGTATAAGTGATGGTGATGTAATCTGGTGTGTCAGTGATGGAGATCTATTCCTGGAGGTAGGTATTGGGGCAGTGGTCTGACATTTGGGTGATGTAGGTGTGTTTGTGTGTGTGAGTGATGTGGATGTCTTTGTGGGTGTAGGTGTTGGGGATGTGTTTGTGGATGTAGATGATGGGGATGTGATCTGGGGTCTTACTAATGGGGATGTATTCCTGTGTGCAGGGATTGGGGATGTGGTCTGGGGTCTCAGTGATGGAGATGTATTCCTGGGTGCAGGGATTGGGGATGTGGTCTGGGTTCTCAGTGATGGGGATGTATTCCTGGGTGCAGGGATTGGGGATGTGGTCTGGGTTCTCAGTGATGGGGATGTAGTCCGAGGTGTAGGTATTGGAGATGTGATCTGGAGTCTCAGTGATGGGGATGTATTCCTTGGTGTAGGGATTGGGGATGTGGTCTGGGGTCTCAGTGATGGAGATGTATTCCTGGGTGCAGGGATTGTGGATGTGGTCTGGGTTCTCAGTGATGTGGATGTAGTCCGAGGTGTAGGTATTGGAGATGTGATCTGGAGTCTCAGTGATGGGGATGTATTCCTTGGTGTAGGGATTGGGGATGTGGTCTGGGTTCTCAGTGATGGGGATGTATTCCTTGGTGTAGGTATTGGAGATGTGATCTGGAGTCTCAGTGATGGGGATATATTTCTGGGTGTAGGTATTGGGGTTTTAATCTGGGGTGTCAGTGATGGAGATATATTCCTGAGTGTACATGACGGGGATGTAATCTGGGGTGTAAATGATGAGGATGTATTCCTGTGTGTTAGTGTTGGGGCTATAGTCTGGGGTCTGGCTGAGGGGATAGGACATCTTGGATTAGGTGAGTGATTAGATTCCCTTTTTTCAAGTATAACTGTGGTGTTCTTCCTTTCAGGTGGGAGGCCAAAATTCCTGGAATTGTATATATCAGTATTTCCTGGGTGAATTGAGGGGCTGATTCGGTCAGTGGCACCCTTGGACTGAAGGGGCAAATCAGTGTGTTCTAATGTGGGTGAAGTGCCTGTAGATTGAACATTGCTGGATTCAAAACTAGTAGGCGTGAGAGAGCAAGAATCTATACTTTCTGGACTAGATAACAGCACAGTGTCTGAGGATGCTGGGGCATGAGTCTCTGTAGAATCTTCAAAGGTCTCACTAGAATCGCTCAACTGCTCAGAACATATGGCTGTGTGGTAAGAGCCTGATGATTCATTATTGGAGTCATCTGCTAGTGTAAAATCATCTACCTCCTTCATAGTTAGGAAATCTGAGGCTGGGCTGCAGGACGGAGTTGGCGACTCGCAGTCATCTCCAAATATGTCGCACAGACAAGTCGTCTCAGAGATAGCTCGGTGATGGCTGTGGATGTTGATGATGTCGAAGATTTCCACATGGTTCGGGCCATCATTGTTGCGTACACCAAAGTCTTGGGGCATGCTGGGATGGAAATGGAAGTGGTCCTCCTCCGCTGGCCAACTCTCCATCTCCACCCAAACCAGGCTCCAAGGCCGAGGGGCTCTGTCTTACATCCAAGTGGTGGGGAAACTTAATAGGAAACCAAGAATGACACATTGAATGTTGGAAACTTCACTGCCCCTGTCACATGACCCATTTAAGAATGTGAAATGTGAAATACATAAGTCTGCATCAGCACCTTCATGAAACATCACAGCTAATACAGCTACATCAAACTGTTAGATTCTCATGGTTCAGATCAACACACTTACATAACGTTGATATGTTATATTCACTATCCAGCAGGATAAACTTCAAATTTCTAATAAAAGAATTAATAAATGGTGCACAATTATCTTTAGAAAATGTTAATTCAACATTTCCTAAATTTCCTGTAAAAAAAATCAATTGACATATATAGAAACAATTCAGCAAATAATCATAAACACCACATATATAAGCTGTCAATCCATCATGAACCTTACATCCCCATTTTCTGGAGCATTAAAAGCTTCAATTGATATAATTAGATATCACTTGAATTCAGATTAGATCCTATGTATTCAGTGAAGTTTTCCATATGTCCAGTTTAAACCATTACTCATTAAAACATTCATTGTCCTTTTTAATCCGGCAGCTGTCTTGTAAAATGACAACTATTCCGAATAAAAATCTAACATATCATTAAGTTTAAACAAACAAATAGCTTTAGGGTGATGAATGACTGATGAATGACTATGAATCTGACCTGTTGCTGCAATTTGGCAGAGAGGTTTTTCTGTACTGTACCTTCAGGTGAACACACTCCCCGGGAGACAGACCGTCAGAGGTGCCGTGACCCAGTCGTATAGATGAGTTCAGCAAGGACCCAAAGTCCATCCAGAACCGCAGCACTGTACCGGTACAGTCCAAACTCAGGTCACCGCTTTGAAAAGGGGAAATAAAAAAAATAAAAGCAGGCCCACCCACCCTTAAACTACCGGCGTTAAGGATGGGACGAGTCTGACCGGTATTTTTTCCCGCTGCGGTCTGGAGACGGAGCCCCGCTGGATCGCTGGTGCTGTCCAGTCAGAGAGAGCGCTATACTTAGCAGCAGGTGCTGATAGAGCCGCCATGGGGCATGCTGCTGAAATCCGACACGCGGGACCAGCAGTCAGAGGGCACGGTAAATATAGCCCCCCTCCTGAATAGCATCACTGAGAGATTGCGCTTGGGCGCCAGGCACTCTGACAGACATGTGGCTGAATTGCTCTCAGAATGGCAAACTTAACGCTCAGGACTCTCGCCTGTTTGACATGAATTCTGGAGCAGCATTTGCATGTCGTATCTGTTCAACGTA